GAATGTGAGAATATTCCTTTTAATATTAGAAATTATACATACAGATAAAAACTTTGAGCTGATAATCTAGAATTTGATGAGACTATAAAAGGTCATCTAGTCGATTCTTCTGGGCTCAGGAAAGATTATCTCCAAAATCTATCAAAATCTATAATTGTATATTTTATTTATGAGGATCATGACGGTGAGACTCTTAGGACAGGTACAGGCAAGGTGAGGGGCTCTTGAAAGTTCAACTACAAGTCCAAAGGTTTAGAGTCTAGACAAAAATTCCATATTCAATATTATCACTCTAAACTCTACTATTCCTACTAATTATGTACAATAGCAAGTCAAGGCAATATTTTCCTTTTTCTTTTCCTAGAGATCTATCTTGTAATAAAATACAGACCCTTGAAAGACGCACATTTGAAGCGCTACCTTTTTTGAAGTCTCTGTAAGTTACAAATACAACTTTATTATATTTGGAATTTTTATAAAAATTGTAAACCTCTTTGCTGTTCATTTTGAAATACAATTAAAATTTTACTAGTAGTAAGTTACTAAAATTACACAGCAAACCCTTTTCATCTCTAGCAAAGATTAGTGTGAGCATTATTACATGATCAGAGTGAATTGTGATAGAGCAATGGCTGTCAGCCAGTGTGATTTTGCACCCAGGTGACATTTGGCAATGTCTGGAGACATTTTGGGTTGTCACAGCTGTGGGTGTGCTACTTGCATATAGTGGGCAGAGACCAGGAATGCTGCTGAACAACCTACAATGTACAGGACAAACCCCCACAACGAAGAACTATCCTGCTCAAAATGTCAAAATGTCAAATAGCACTGAAGTTGTGAAACCCTGTTCTAGAGAAACAAAGATCACTTAACACAAGTATCTATTGAGTATTGCACTGTTTTGTATCTAATGCACCACATTTGTAAATATGAGAGTATAAATTATAAGTCAGTAGCTTCCACAGTGGTATTTCTTTGGTGTATAGAGAAAGTATAGAGATTATGTTTCATTGCGTATAAATTCAGAATTACTGCCAAAGGATAAATGTTCTGAAAGAATGTCTTTTTTCTTCTTGTTTGGCTTGTGTTTTTTTTTTTTTTTTTGTAGAAATCTTCGTTGCAACTTAATCAGTGAAGTGAGCTTCGGAACATTTCAGGCATGGCACGGGTTTCAGTTTTTAAATGAGCTGTAAGTGAAATAGAAGATACAAATGTAAAAAACTATTTATGTATAAAAACACCATACAGTTCTTGGTTAGCTGGGTATAAGCCATTATGAATGCTGAAAAGTATGTCTTAAGATCCATTTATTTTTTTCAAATGGGGAAACTAAGGTACAAAGAGGCCAAGAAGCTTGTGTAACATATATGACATGCTCTGCCTTCCTTTTTACTGATCTTTGACATGGGCAGTAAAAGGCACCAAGCAAGTAACACTCAAATTAGCATCATTGTGTGGGCCAGTTAGCTTACTTGGGAGAGCATAGCACTAATAACACCAAGGTCGTGGGTTTTTATCCCAGTATGGCCCAGCTGCCAAAACAAAAACAAACAAACAAACAAACAAAAAAGAAAGAAAGAAAAGAAGAAAGAAAGAAATTAGTATTGTTATAGGAGGCCCTATGATGCTGCCCTGATACATGAATGGTCCTTGGAACTATGCTGAATTTAACTTAGATTTCTGCTCACATGCAGAGTTCCTAACTGCTTGTACTAGTCCATTTTTGTTACTTATAACAAAATACGTGGAACTGGGTAATTGATAAAGGAAATGAAATTACAGTTTCTAAGGCTGGGAAGCCCAAAGTCCATCTGGTGATGGTGACAGTGATTCAGGGATCTCACATTGCAAGATGGTGGAAGCTGAGAGAGCAGAGAGAACAAGAGAAAGACATAAAGCCCTCAGAACTACCCCCTGACCACCATTTTTAATCCATTCACTACTGCACAATCCTACAATCCAATCACCTCTTCAAGGCTCCACCTTTCAATTACCATAATAGGATTTCTCACACTGATAACAGTCACAGTGGGGCTAAGTTTCTAATATATCAGACTTGGGGGACATAATTCAAGCTTCAGTGAGTTTTGGGGGAACATAATTCAATCCACTACTCTGCCTAAGCATGTTTAACATGTAGCTGCAGGGCTGGCCTGGTGGCGCACTGGAGAGTGCGCTGCTTGGGAGTGTGGCGGCGCTCCTGCCGAGGGTTTGGATCCCATGTGGAGACCGGTTCCCGCTCACTGGCTGAGCGCGGTGCGGCGCAACACCAAGGGTTGCGATCCCATTGCCGGTCCCCGGTGCGGGCGCGACACCAAGGGTTGCGATCCCGTTACCAGTCAGTAAAAAAGACAAAAAGGAAAAAATAAATAAATAAAAAATAACATGTAGCTGCAGAGAACAAAACTTAACACAAAGTCCTCCAGGGAGCAAAAGGTGTGCAGATGCTTTCTCAGTGACAGTTTCTTGTAAATGGTGAAGTAGAAAGAATTCCAGGAAACCTCTCCCGGAGTATTCATCTACCCAATCACCCAGAACGTTAGTTTTCCAAATTATATACCTCTGAAGTTATGAATTATCTGTGGGCAATGCAAAGCTTTGAGGTGTGGAAAAAGATGGTGTTTATGTTAAGCTACACTGTGCAAAATATCTGTAAAGAAAAGACATTGCTCTAGTCTAATTCCATTTACTTCTTTCCTGACTTCCCTGTAACAAAAAGTATTGAAGGTTTTACTCCCTTTCAGCTCAAGATGTCTGTGATTCCTCTGTGACACAGGCAAATCGTAGTGGGCATGTTCAATGACCTGCAGGGGATTTTTGACTCAAGGTGAAGAATTACTTTTTTTTTTTTTTTGGTGACTGGCTGGTATGGGGATCTGAACCCTTGACCTTGGTATTATCAACACTGCACTCTAACCAACTGAGCTAAATGGCCAGTCGAAGATTCTCCTCTAAACCTGACTTTGGAAAGGACAGTCCACCTGTCTTGTGGTTCAGAAACCCAGTTTCACACAGTTCATCTTGGGTTAGAGGGAGGGTACAGGATGTGTGTGCAGCTGGATGACCAGTTCCTGCATGTGCCCATCTGTGGTGGCCTCTTCTGTCCCCTCATCAATTTGCTGATGCCTGACTTGGGGAAAGAACAGTGGGCATCTGTTTTGCTTTCCCCTGAGCATCAGAGAGCTGGCTCGTGTCCCTCCACCAAGAGGTTTTGGTAGCGTCAATATAAATGTCTTAACCAAGAGGTTTTGGTAATGTCAATACAAATGTCTTAAACCACCTTTACTAAGCATTTTATATGAATCCAAGTTTCATGGTGGTTATGTAGGCAATATGGGGGAAAAATCACTAACGATAAAGCTTAATGAATTAATTCAAAAACATTCACTGGGTACCATGCCCACTGTGTGCTAGGTACTTTACTAAGTGCTGGGGGTTCAAATTGGAATGGGACGGGGACTTTGTCCAAAAAAGACTTTCACACTGGAAGGAGGAAGATGGATATTGGTGGGAAAACATATGAGGGCCATGCCAGGATACCTGCAGCGTAATAAGCTAGAGGGATGACAACATGGGAATGTGTGGTGGGTTAGGAAGGACTTATAATGGTGGAGGCACCAACTTATCTTGAGTTTCTATTTTCATCTTAAACAGCAGAAACAGGCATTTGCTTCACGGTGATGAAAAAATAAGAGCTACCTCATGTTAGAAACTAATACTCATATCATGTGATCTGAATAGAGCTGTACCCCTCAAACTGATTCACAGTTACTTTCAAAGATTGGCACAATGGTCACAATACACCAAGTATACATTGGGGGCTGGGTTCCTTTGTTTTGGGTCAAGTCTTTCTAATAGACAAAGCTAATTTGCTTCAGGAGACACTTGCCATAATTAGATATAAGCATCTCTTTCCAAAGTCAGATTGCCAAGGGAGGATGTCAGTAATTTTATGACTGATATGACACAGTTCTGGGATGTTTACAAGTTGAAACAATTACTTTTCCCTGAATTACAAAAGTTCATAAAAATGTGCCAGCTGAGATGGATTTATCATGAATTGAATGGAGCCTAAGCTTCAGGTCTCCTCACTTGCACAGGCCCTTTCCAAGGTCCTGGGAGGGGCCCTAGCAATTTCTGTATTCATAATTTTGCATGTTTTATTAGGATTTCCCAAATTAGATAATGTTCAGGCCCCACAAAACCTGGATTCACCCGTACAGTCCAGGTGATTCCAACCAGTAAATCTCTTGCATCAAGTCCCTATGATATTGACAAGCACTTACGGAACAAGTCAGCAGTGTGGTGGGGTCAGTCTATTTTGAATCTGAAATCCACCTCAAAGACGTGCTAAGAGCTTATTAGTAAGGTACCACTCTTTGAATGGTAGTAATAATCAAATCTCTCTCAGATGGAATCAGGAATGAAATATGTTATGGAAAACCAGCAGTGGTTGATAATCCTAAGTGTTAAGTATACTGTTTTCCCTGACTTTAAATTTCATCTCCTTCATTCACCTACACAAGTTCAGACTGATGGCTTATTTTTAAAAATTCTTTTAGTCACTTCATCCATTCTAACAATCCAAGCTCCATGATTTTAGAAACTGAAGGACTCTATGATGTAGAAAGACTGTATCTTATTCAGATAGAGCACATGCACATTCTGGCTTGTGTGTGGCACATCAGTATTGTACCTAAGAACATAAGCACTGAGAGAATAAGAGGAAAATCCAAACTATACCCCATTGAATTATCCCACTGTTGAGAATATCAATGAGATAGATATGGCCACACTATGAAGGCAAATTGAGCTGCGGTCACAGAGACACTCTATTGCTTCTTAGGCCGCCCCCCACCCCCAGTCCGCTAGCATTGGTTTCCTTTAGATAGTTGCAGACACAGAAGTTTGCACACTTCAGGGTGTGCTCATCACTTTTTGGTATGTACTGGAATCCTGGCAGCTTCTTCTCAGATTCAGAGAGGCATAAACATTAAGATGAAGATAATAATTTGGGTCTGTCCTTTGGAATAATTTAGAGTGGCTGCTTAATTTGTAATGGTTCAAAAGTTTTGAGATTATCACACCCAGTAACTCTTTTACATTTTTCTCCCACTGCATGTTATTCTTCCCACCTGTATAACGAGTTATCTTTTCTTCTCTTGGAAGCTTAGTAATTCTTCCTTTGCCCTGTAACATTTCTTTAATACCTACATTTATGAGGTGCTTATTATGTCCCAGGCAGTATATTAGTACTTATGCAAGTGAGAGAACATGCAAGTGAGTTCTTAGAATAGCGTTTGGCACATGGTAAATGCTCGGTATGTGTTCTCTCCTGTATCTCATTTTCATTTTCCAGCAGTTCTTGTGATGTAGACATTATTATCCTCATTTTGCAAATGAGGAAGTTAAGGCTCAGAAATGTTGGATAACTTGCCCTAGTTTCACACCATTAAGAAGTGGCAGAACCAATTCATGAAGCTCTTTGTTCCCTTGTAATAGGAGCTGAATGATGACAATTCAGCTTTTTATGCATTTTATCCTGAAGTTGGTTTCTAACTTGAATAGGACCTTTAGAGCAGAGGACTCCATTTCCACCTGAGAATTCCCCACTTCTGGAGCTCCTGGCCAGGCCACCTCTGGATATCCCCAGGGTTTCTGCTTACTGGCAAATACAGATATGACATCATTACTGCTGAACACCTGCCCTGTGCCCAGTCCCATGCTAGGTGCTTTATACATGCTCTTTCATTTAATCCTCAAACTGCCCTGTGAGGTAAATGATACTAAGTCAGTCACTTACCCAGAAAGCGACAGAGCCAAGATTCAAACCCAGGTCTGCCCGATTCAGAGCCCTGGCTGCTTCTGTGTTCCTCACTGCCAGGGAGTCTTCTGCAAGGTTGTTTGTCCTTTCTTCCTCACTGTCAGAGAGCCTTTGTCAAGGCTATTCTCAGAACTTTGATTAAAATACAGGGTCACCATTTCAGATCCTTTAGACTTTGCCCCTGAGAAAGGGTTTATGTGATGCTGTCAGAAGTCTTGTGTTGAGGAGCTTCATGTGGGCAGTCGTGAAAATGGCTCATGGATGTATGTAGATGAATAAAGGAGAGGGGTTACTCCATCCCCAAGGACTTCACACATATCAGAGCAGGATTTAGGTCACTCTGCTTATTTCTTTGACTGCCTTCCTCCAAGCAACCAGTTTTCCCTGCCTGCCTTGGGATTATAGCATGGATAGTTTTGGAGCTTGTCCTGTTTTAAATTTATTTTCACTGCCTGCTTTGGACAATTTTTCTGCTAAAGCTGTTAAGATTTCTGTTCATTCAGGATAGTGATGACATGCGTCAGTCCTCGATTGTTCTCTGTCTCCTCAGTTACTAGAAAGGAAATGTAGCCCGTCTGACTGGACCTGTATAGAAAAATTTGGAGGGGAGAAAACCCAACAGGTTTAGAAATGTCCCCTTATTTTAAGCCCTTATTTTAAGAGCTACCTTTTATCCTGTTCCATTGTTCTACAGCAAAAGGCTTATGCAAAAAAATTTTAGTTTTCCTCTTAAACTTTGATGCTGAGATAGTCTTTCAGGCTAACAAAGTTTGTCACATTTCACTCCCATAAAGATATGAATAAGGCATGGACTAGGTGTCAGTGCACCTTAGTTTATCTATAAAATGCAAGAATTGAACCAGCAATGTAAATAATCTCTACTACAGTGCTCTCTGAATCTAAAACACTCATATCATTTGATTCACAAAAAAAGAGTTGTTGTAGAATCCCCAAATTTCAGCTTTTTTTTTTATTTTGTCAATATACAATGTAGTTAGTTATTGTGTCCCATCTCCAAAACCTCCCTCNTTCCTCCAAGCAACCAGTTTTCCCTGCCTGCCTTGGGATTATAGCATGGATAGTTTTGGAGCTTGTCCTGTTTTAAATTTATTTTCACTGCCTGCTTTGGGCAGTTTTTCTGCTAAAGCTGTTAAGATTTCAGTACATTCAGGATAGTGATGACATGTGTCAGTCCTCGATTGTTCTCTGCCTCCTTACTTACTAGAAAGGAAACATAGCCCATCTGTCTGGACCTGTAGAGAAGAATTTGGAGGGAAAAAACCCAACAGGTTTAGAAATGTCCCCTTATTTTAAGCCCTTATTTTAAGAGCTACCTTTTATCCTGTTCCATTGTTCTACAGCAAAAGGCTTATTCAAAAATATTTTAGTTTTCCTCTTAAACTTTGATGCTGAGATAGTCTTTGAGGCTAACAAAATTTGTCACATTTCACTCCC